GAAAAGAGGAAGAGGAGGAGGATAAATTCCTGCTTCCTGCAGCTTTAAATGAACTTGAGTGTATAAGTCGGCGTTCCTAGACTCCCCCCGCCATGTTGTTCACAGCGAGAGCGACCGGTGGTTTCCTGTTGTTGACAAGGCGGAAAAACGCCACGCTGACGTCGCACACATGCGCAGTGAAGATTATTTTACTCTTAAGATCCGAATGGGTGTTTACATGGACGCCAATCAGAATGGCGATCGGCAAAAACCACCTCTCTCATTCGGAATTAAATTTAGATCCGATCGGACCGAATCGGATTAGAATCTTCAGTCTGACATGTTTACATGAAACATTTTTGATCTGATCAGGCCTTCAATCTGATTAGTTGTGTCCATGTAAACGTAGCTAGTGAAACTAAAACGATGCCCCATCCCTTCCGTCATGCAAAGGATGATGCCTGATTCAGCTTAAAGTCGTAGGGTAGTCATATTTAAATGTGTAATCATTCTGGCTTAAACAAGTACATAAATGTATTCTTTATCAGACGCTATTGTCCCAAAATTTAGAAAATTTCTATTTAAGATTTTTTATACGTCAGCCTGAACACCTAAATTCGGCCAATCGTATATCGATTTTATTTTTTCGGCCATAGCATCTTGATTCATATGTCGCAGCTAATATACGCAACGGTTGAAATAAGAATCATTTCCTTTCCTATTGAGTTCCGTCCCAGTGTTCACAGGGATGGAAGCCTTCTACACCAAACCAAGCTTCTGCCGCCCTGGCGTCCTCTTCCACAACATCTTCGTCCCCATTTTTCTCCTCTAAATAAAAAATGAATGACAGAGGAGACTCATACACGACCTCCTTCACTATACTCTCCTCTTCTTGCATGTTTCCTCTGTCCATAGCGTTCCTTGACAGTGTCGTTGCTAAGTCACCAATTTAGTTCTACTTGGTCCCAATGGAATTTCCCATTGGGAACCTACTAGCACTAAGTTGCTAACTGGTTAGCAAGACAAACCAGCCACAATCAAACATGCTTGCAAACCTTTCGCCACAACAATCCCGCCCTCTTAATAATTAACCAATCACATCCACTTTATTCACTCGTGTAAAGTCGTGCACCACTCGGGAGAATTCAGAATTTCAACGGTTGGAACGGCCGCTTCCCTACAACTTTAGGGTCCTCATTTTTTTGCTGTCTTCAGATTGAGCTGGTTTTCTGTCAGACCAGCATACCCATGGTCGGTGCGCAAGACGTCAGATTTGACTTTGAACTACCTCAATGGGCGTGCATCCCTTTAGTCATGTACAAAAAACAATTTCAGTTCAGATCGCCATACGCTTTAAAATATACCAAAAGGTAAGTAATTCGTTTTTTGTTCATGACTAAAAGGATATGCGCCTGCTGGGGTCTATTTTCCATACAAATCTAAAGGTATAAACTAAAGGGATAAATGGCTATTAATTATGGGTATGCTGGTCTGACCGGGTATGCTCATCTGATGGACCACTGGTGTTTCTGCATCTTTGACTTGGAGATGCTTTAGAACGAGTTCGGAGCTTCAAATAAGAATGATGCATCTGCAGTTTTTGAATCAAGTCTCAATAAAAAGCTTCAACTGTTAAAATAATGACTTGTAGCTAATCTAAACCTGGTAAACAAACAGAATTGTTTCGTATTACTGAATTAAGAGTTTTACCGATGGGAAGGCCGGATAGTTTTAGATATGATGCGTGATCTGTGGGGTTGTTTTCCTGAAGCTTCAGATCTCCCGGCGTCTTTGACTGTGATGAACGGAACTGTTTTGTTTTTATTCCTGTTTAGGTGGAAGAGGCCAAATTAAACAGAAAAAGAAGACCGTTCCCCAGAAAGTCACGATAGCAAAAATCCCGAGAGCCAAGAAGAAATACGTCACAAGAGTGTGTGGCCTGGCAACCTTTGGTGAGCCTTTTTTTTTTTTCCTCCGTTCATATTTAAACGCTGCTCTTTGACTCCCTTCTAAACGTGGATCCTCTGTTTCAGACATCGAGCTCAAGGAGGCTCAGCGATTCTTCGCTCAGAAGTTCTCTTGCGGTGCCTCAGTTACAGCCGAGGATGAAATAATCATTCAGGGAGATTTTACAGACGACATAATCGACGTCATTCAAGAAAAGTGGCCTGAGGTAAAAATGTCCACCTTCAGGGGAAAGATTTGATGTCTGCCAGTATATGTTTGTTTTTTGGTGCTTGAATTTTATTCCTTAACTTTATACATAAAAAAATAACTTAAAAAAAAATTATTAAGGACCACGTGACACTGGTGTTGATTGTTTAAATGGGGAAAAAGTACTTTAGATATGTATCAAGTGTTTGTTTTAACAGGTCCTTAAGTTGTTAAGTAAAGAAAAAAATGAGTTCAAGGCCTTAAGTCTGTAAAAAAAATAGCCATAAAAACATCTTTGAAAGTCCTTAAATGTTTTGGAAACACCGGATTCTAGTGTTTTTTTTATAAAGTTAATAGAGGGTTCCCACGGGTCATTAAAAATCATTAAATTATTATTTTTTAAATTAAGGCATTAAAGGTGCAGTAGAAGATCTTTTCTGACCAATTTTTTACCATGTGGCTTAAAGATCTCCCCACAGCCACGTAGCAAGCAGTGAAATAGAAGGTCTGGAAGTGAAACTAAAATAAATGGTTCCTGCTACAGTGAGAAATCAATGAATAACCCCAACCAATCCCAAAATACGGTCCGTTGTACACAATTGGTTCCTGAGACATCAATCATGGTCATCTGCTTGTCCCTCCCCCTGTGCATGTACACCCTGACACATGAACGAATCGAGCCCCCAATGCTCGTGCAAGACACCATTGCTGGAAGCTAGCCACTGCTATGCTACGTTCACACCTAAAGCAGCAGGAGCAGCTGAAACATGTGTGCCGCTTCATTTTTTATGTTTGTACAAGTTTAGTTCTGATGCTTGGCTGAAGCATCTTTGCTGCTCTGGCTACATGGTGGAAAAAGTGGGTCTGATGCACGTTGGGCGGAGCTACCCTATCCTTTCTTTGCCTGTAACAATGGCGGCTATATTTGCTGTGATCAGTGGCTAAAAAGTAGTTTGAATCTATTTTGAAGTGAGAAAGTCCACCTGAAAACATCATCAGTGCAGTCAGTTCATCTAGATTACCATCCTGCCTTCAAATATTATTTCTGTCGGAGCCGCTCAGATCCACCCATGAATGAATGAATGGTAGCGGGCGCGTGCAGATGGCGTCATGACGTTTTTTATATTTATAACTTTTTAAAAACAAAGCAGAGTGTGTACGACGTCATCCGTGCACGCCGGCTACCAATTCATTCTTCCTGTCCGCTGAACTGCTGCTAGTTTTACTCACATGCCTGGAAGATGTCTAATGCTACTAACACAGATGATCTCGCTCTCCAAATGGAATTGAACGATTCAGATTAGCTAGCTAAATGAATAGAAGGAGTAGAGCGTAGTCGCCTGTGGCCCGGGCTGCCTGTCACAACTCCAGTCTGGCGCACGGATGACGTCATACACACTCCGCTTTGTTTTAAAAGAATATAACCGTGGATGTCTGGGGGACAGTGATTCGCCTACATGTCATGAATGCTGGCGTACCATAAATGATAAATTATGAACAGTTTAGTTTGTGCCTTCAACTCGTTGCCCAAAGGAAGACGTTACTTGGATATAACCTCATATATCAAATCTCATATGGATGAGTAGAACATGATGTAATAACGTAAGATCAAGGGCCCAATGTAAAAAAAAAAATGGCTTTCCCCTTTAAGCTTCATTTCCGCATGTTTTGCTCCTATGGATTTTAGCAAAAATATCACACATGCTCTCCTCAGACTCCAAGGAAGTCAGTGTGGAGCCAGAAGGAACAGTGGAGGCTGTAGGCTTTGCTTTGCGCAGGCTGTTTCCCTTCTTCATCACAGCTGATTGCCATTGATTGCTGATTAACAGGCTGTTCCTGAAGTGCAATCATCAGAATCGACTGTGTTGAAGCAGAGAAACCTTTAAAACCTGCAGGACAGCCTGCCTGATTTATATGGATAAAACAGACGATCAGAATATTTTGACTCGAATGTTTCACAGTTTTAGCCTGGTAATTTGTCCATATAACCGAAGCTTCAGATGATACTTTAAGCATTAATAGAAATCTTGGTGATGTAACATTCATGTTGAGGAAACAAACAAACCTTTTCTGAGTTCATTCTCCTTCTGTTTGCAGGTGGATGATGACAGCATTGATGATCTGGGTGAAGTTAAGAAGTAAAGACCAAAATATGCACTTTCACTGGGATGGATGCCACCTGTAACATCATCAACAGCAGCCTGGCCAAAATGTACACATTAAGTCATTTTATACCTATTTTATTTACTGTACATAAAAAGGTGCGGACTTGGCCACTCATTTGGCAATTTCTATCTATCTTTTTTTTTTTTTTTTTAGTTCATAGCTGCTTTCTCTTATTTGCCAAAGTCGTGGTTTAAATCAAGTCCTTCACAAATGTCCTTCACTCATGCAAACAGTAGGCTAATAAATTTCAGTCCCCTCCGTCTTTTCTGTCTGATCTTTATTCCATTTTGGGTTTGTCATTTTTTGTTTTTGTTAAATGTTTTAAGTGTTTTCTTTTCCAGAGTTGGCTTTGTCGTCATCCCCAGCTTTATGAGTCCCATAGATGGCCGCAGGTTGGTTGTTTTTCCTGCGTCCTGCTGATCACCCATGAGTAAACCTATTCCCAGGTATAATAGTTTTCTAATGAAGGTGCCCTCCCCAGACGGATAACATTTACAGTTGTTATAACGCTCCTTTGGGTCGATAGCACTTCCCCATAGATAACATGGTGCCCAGATGCTCAAATTTGCATGTTTGTCCGTGAACCTTTTGTTTAAGTGCAAACACCATTGGCTGCTCTACACAGGCACCTGGTGCAGCAGGTCTTTGTTGACTCACTTTTATAGCAGCAGCTTGTTCGTGCCTCCCCGCCGCGTCGGAAGATGAACGCCTCTCAGCCGGAGGTGTGTTGTGCCTTTGAGTCGCCCATCCTGGACCAGGTTCTGCCTCCGGTTCTTATCCTGGAGTTCATGTTTGGATTAATGGGGAACGTTTTGGCTCTGGGGATGTTCATCTTCTACATGGACACCTGGAAGCCCAACTCCGTGTACCTGACTCACCTGGCCGTCGCCGACTCCATCGTGCTGTTCTGCTTGCCCTTCAGGGCGGACTACTACAGGCGCGGGAAGGACTGGATCTACGGCGACGTCCCGTGTCGTCTCCTCCTCTTCTTGCTTGCTGCCAACCGCGCAGCGGGGATCTTCTTCCTCACTGCTGTGGCCGTGGACCGGTACTTTAAAATCGTCCACCCGCGGAACCCGATAAACCGCCTGGGTCTGGGCTACGCTCTGCTGGTCTCCCTCGGCCTTTGGGGACTGATTTTTCTCGCCACCGGGTATCTGCTCGCTAATGAGCACTTCTTCTACAACAGCAACCGCACACAGTGTGAGAGCTTCAACATCTGCATGGGCTTCACCCCCCTGTCCACCTGGCACAACGCTTTTTATGTCATCCAGTTCTTCCTGCCCACCGCCATCGTGGCGTTTTGCACCATCAGAATCACCTGGCAGCTGAGGAACAGGACTCTGGACAAAAAGGGGAAGATCAAACGCGCCGTTCAGTTCGTAGCCGCCGTGGCTCTCATCTTCATCACCTGCTTCTTCCCCAGCACCGTGTCCCGCATCGCAGTGTGGATCCTGAAGGTGTGGTATGACGAATGCAGACATTTTGAAAAGGCCAACCTGGCTTTCTACACGTCCGTCTGTTTCACCTACTTCAACAGCGTCCTCAACCCCGTCGTTTATTACTTCTCCAGCCCGGCTTTCAGCGGCACCTTCAGGAAGGTGCTGAACAGGCTGCTGGGAAGAAGTGAGGACAAAGACCCAGCGCAGTTGTCAGACAATAACATTTCCACCATCGATGGTGACGGAATCTAAAAGCTGATGTCCACGGAGATGTCTGGAAACATCTTTTTATACATTTATAGGCCCAATAAAAGGTAGAAAAGTGATGTGAAGCAGAGCTGTGTTAAATCTAAATAATCACCATTAATGAAGAGATGGTTGACAATAAATATTAAAGGTAAACGCCGGTTCTTCCTCAGGGTACAGGAAATGTAGAGTTAAAATGGAGCAGGCTCATGAAATAAAACTGCTTATCTGGATTCCTCTATTGTGCGAGATGTTTACTTGGTTTAAAGAAATCATTAAATCTGAGCAACAATCTAGTTTTTCTTTACCCGCAGCATTTTTTGCAGTTTAACAATGGCGTAGGGTTGATAAAGTCAAAAAATAAATAATTTCAGGTTTGGAACAAACTATTAAAATGTTCTCAGATTTTCAAACTCATGTTTTAGAAATGCTTTCTCAGTTTTTCTCTGCCGTTCCTTTTACTGCCTTGTCCGTAATTTTATTACTGAGCTGCCGGTGTTTGAGCATCAGTTGTATAAAGACTATAAACCTGATTGTTAGAGACGGATCAATAATGATGCAGATCCAATTCAGCAAGTTTTCCTTTGATCAGCTGTAGTCGGTGCTCAGTAAACAACTCCTGAAAACATATTTAGAAATATCAAAGATCCCGTTATTTTCTCTTCATAAATGTCAACATCAGAGGCTTCGATGGACCTGATTTAGGTGAGTGAAAATCTGCTAAAGGATTTGTTTAATAAGCACAATCCACTAACGTCTTTATTTGTTTTTCTGCGATAAGAGAGACGTTGAACAAGCAGGTCAAACATTAAATAAAAGATTAGCCATTGAACCCCTGATCAATGCGTCTCTGACGTGTGGAAGCAAGAATTCTCTTCTGATTGTTTTTGTTTTATTAAAACTTGCTTTAAGGAAAGTGTTTCAGAGATGGGAATGGTTGGCAAAAGCATGTAAATAACTGATGAAGCTGCATTAAGCTCTTTACCTGTGTATAAATACACTGGAGTCAAAACCAAGAGTTCAAATTAATAAAAGTTTTAAGATTATGTAGTTTTAAAAGGAAATTACATCAGGGTTTGAACTCCAGACAGCATGAACAGTATGCCACCTTTGCCTTTTTTATTATATTGATTCTATTTTGTGTTTTGATTCACATGTTTTGCACTTTAGTGCATTTTTTAAATTACTGGCTTTAAAAGTTTCTAGATGTAACTTTCTAAAACTCAGTCTAGTTGAGTTTCGTGTCATATTTTATTTATTTTTTCCCAACAAAATGGGAATAAACAGACCAGTGAGTTTAGAAAGTAGATGAGCTGCTTTGCATGAGATTAAAACAGAAAAAAAAAGTTTCGGACGAATAAGAGAAATGGAAAAGTATATATATTTTTTTATTTAAACATAAGGCAAACCAAGCTTTAGAAATGTTTTTTTTTTTAAGTGTAGTATTAAAAAAAATCAATTAAAATGATTATTAAATTCAAATAAATGGCTATAATATGATAATTTGGGTACCTGTTTGATTTTATGGAAAAATTAAGAAAAAGGTTTTCTGAAAAGAAGTGACTTAGTTATAGTAAGAAACATTGTGTTTTAATATGGGAAATATGGCTCATCACCCAGGGAGTCATCTGGTGAAGGTTGGCATAAAAAGAAATTAATTAATTCTTAATTTGATCTATTATTTTACTGTGTTATGTACACAATTTTCCAAATGAAGGCCAAATATGACAATTTTTGCCCTTAAATTGAAATTGAGGTAGAATAGAGTATAAATTAGGATTATAATTTTTGTTGTATAAACACAAAAAGCCATCAAGTAGATAAACATAAGACATCTATGATTCGCTTAATTGACTGCGACTCATTTTGTAGGGAGAAATATACCCGTATGATAAAAAAATAAAAAGAATACAACAAAGGAATTTAAGTTTCTAAAGCCCCAAATTAACCAAATCACAACAAATGACACGTTTTCTTAGAGTAAAAACATTGAATTTTTTTTCTCTTTTTTTAAAAACAAAATGTGATATTATCCACAATTGTCTTGTATTAATAGGTCTTTAGTCTTTTTGCATGTTTTTATTGCATGTTTGTTCTCTCTGGGTACTCCCACAATCCAAAAAAACATGACTCCAAAGTTTCTTAACAGCTCTTAATCACTCTTAGGTTTTTCTTCCTGTGTCTTTTGCGCTGTGAGGAAATGTATCATTTTCATCTCTCAGCTAAATCCAGCTTTTTCTTAGAGGACACAAAAAAAAAAATTGGATTTTTGTTTTTATAAAGATGGAAAAATCTCATGTTTCAACTAAAGAGAATTATTTTTTTCTGTTGAAAAGAGGACAGTGGATTGAGCAATGCTACAAGAAAACCTTGTATAAAGTGGAATGTGCCAGCATAATGCTGCTCTTGGGCCAATTTCTTTTTTGGGTCCCTATTAGTTTTAGTTTTGTTCAGAAAGCTGAAGATGAAGAGCGATTTATTTTTTTATGCTTTGAACTCAAACATCCATATCAACAAAATAATGACTGCATAAGAGGAAGATTGAAGTTGTGCCCAGCATACAAAAAAACAAAACAAAAAAACAACAACACAGAGGTCAGGAGATATTAGAGGAAAATTTGGAAGGTATAGAAGGGGAAAATCCTGCCAACTCCACATGTTAGATACTGAAAGACCCCTTTTGAAAAAAGCTGAACCAAAATTTTCCTCAATTTATTTAAAGTTTTTCTTTGTTTCTAACAGATATGTGCTTTAGGTTAAACCTTACACAATACTTGCAATAGTATGTGTAGATAACAATTCTTACATCATTTCTAATACCATTTAAACTGGTCCAATATTAGATAAATTCGTAGAGACATATATCGAGACTGTTAAACTGTTTATGTTCTTGTTTTTCTTATAATAAAAAAGTCCAGATTCATTCTGGTGGTGGAGATGAATCACATTTGGTTTTGTATATGCATTTTACTGTTACTTGTTATAATATTAAAGTCAATAATTAAGCTGTAGCTTTGTGCTGTCATCCTTCACTTACAAGCTGTAACATTGGCGGTCCTAGACAGGCGCCAAGAAGAGGCGCCCGTTCTGAAAACAAATGCTCCAAAGACAAATACTGTACTTTCCACTCAACTACATTTTGGGGAAGTCACTTGTTAATTTTGGCTCAGATTATCTTTATAATCTGCTGTTGCTGTTTTTCTTTTTTGAAATGCAATTTCGCCATGCAAGATTCCAGCCTTTAGTACTGAATCATAGGGAATTAAATGGAAAAAACAGGGCAAAAGTTCATTGTTTGATACATTAAATGAACCAAATATCCATTTGCATCTCTGTTATCCTCAAATACAGCAGAAAAACACCTGTGAATCTACCTCAATATGACTGAAGTTAAAAGTTCAACTACTTGATTTTTAAATCATTAATAAGATAAAACTGTAAAATTAAAAAATCAAATGAGTCTGAGGATCTTATCAGTTGTGGTTTCTGTTCCAGTATTACAAAGCCAACATCACAGATTTGTGTTTCAACAAATGAAATCATGAACCTATCTTTCTACGACTGATTTTAAATCTAAATAACCTTTAAGTTACATGTTAAATTAGTCCAGGTGATTAATCAGTTACGCTCTCTTCTGTCAGCACATATTTACATGAGAAATTGATTTGGTAATGTACTGTAAAAACTGGTCTAAAATAGCTCACATCAATAATACCTCTTTATTTGCCCTTAAATTAGGCGGCTAGATAAGGGGATTTGCCAAGGTATTTTTGTATACATTGATAGTATTTTTGCTTTTGAAGAAAGATAAGATTTAATGCACATGAAAGAAGAATTAAGGGTTTTGGTGGGTTTTTTTTCTTATGTTAAACAAAAATCATCTTATTTTATCTTCAAATTGTCCTACCACCTTAAATAAAGGAAAAATACACTAGTTTTTTTGTTTTGTTTTTTTATACACTGTCCTGTCTGGCAATGTGGCAATAAGAGTAATTGTCTTGATGCCAAAAAAAGGACCAATAGATTTTGCTTTCATGAGTGGAGCAGTACGGCTGTCGACATAGTGTTAGAAAAAATACACTAGTTTCCACAGAAAATGGCCTGCTTATATATAACCCTAACCCTAGGCTGCTGTTAGATTTGGTCTAGAACTGACTCTGAAATGAATCTAACTCTTTGATTATTATATTTAATAAATACGTTTTTGAGACTCCTGCATCATCAATGTGGTGTTTTTGTTCTTGAAAACCCTAATTTACGAAATCAGACACCTGCAGTGCACAAAAAATCGAATAAAAGTATATATAGGAATGCCTGATGTATCACTACGGAATAGGATTAGGGCCACTGAAAAAAATAAAAAAACGTTAACATGTTTTTAAAATATTTCCATTAATATGGGAAAAAAGTTAGAATTCTGACTTAAATCTCAGAATTCTGACTTTTTTCTCAGAATTCTGACTTTAATCTTAGAATTCTGACTTTTTTCTCAGAATTCTGACTTTAATTTCAAAATTCTGACAATCTCAGAATTCTGACTTTAATCTCAAATTTCTGAGAATCTCAGAATTTTGACTTTTTTCTCAAAATTTTGACTTCAAGCTCAGAATTCTGACTTTTTTTCTCAGGATTCTGACTTTTTTCTCAGAATTCTGACTTTAATCTCAGAATTCTGACATTAATCTCTGAATTTTGACTTTTTTCTCAGAATTTTGACATCAATCTTGGAATTCTGACTTTAATCTCAGACTTTTTAAT